TCTCCAGCCATGCCCGCTCTCCTTCAACTGGCAGGTGCCTCCTGGTACAGGACAGTCAGATCGGGTGCTTGTCTCCAGCCATGCCTGCTCTCCTTTAACTGGCAGGTGCCTAGTGGCTTGCTGTGCAGGGCCAGCGGGCAGTCAGCACATAGCTGAGTGAGCATGTGGGCCTCATCTGCTTCATGAGACTCACTTGCACATCTCCTCTCTGATTTATGACTGGTGCTGTGGGAGTCGGAGCTGGACATCCGCATCTTACACCCTCTGCACTGTCTTCTTTGGGTCCACTCAGAGCCGGCCCTGTGCTCACACCACATGGGGCGGGCGAGTGGACAGCAGGGCCGGCCCTGTGCTCACACTACACGGGGCGAGTGGACAGCGGGGCCAGCCCTGTGCTCACACCACACGGGGCGAGTGGACAGCAGGGCCGGCCTTGGCCCTTCTAGCTTGCGTGAGATGCAAGGCCCACATAGAGGACCTGCAGGGACAGCTGGTGACAGTGCCTGAGAGCCCTGGTGAGGGTGGTCCCTCCACCCTGTTTACCGGGAGAGGTGTGTGGGACCAGTGGTGTGCCTTTGTGTGGTACCCTGGTGAGTGGGCTTCACAGGGAGTATGGGAGAGGACGCCAGGCCTTGGGTGCAGTCAGCGACAACAGGAGCAGGTGGGCACTGCTCAGGGTGCCACGGGCCTGGACCTGAAGGGCGTGCTGAGTTCAGGCCAGATTACATCAGGCCAGGAGTTCCTGGCCATGCGGGATAGGCAGTGGACAATCAGTTCAGTTATAAAAAAACACCTGTCAAGTTACTGCTGGGGTCCTGTACAAATGTCAGCAAGGAGGCTTTGCTTCCAGCAGTTTTAGAGATGCATGAAGGAGACAGCACTCAGATGTCGTACTTAAACCTCAGTGTGGTGAGCACACACCAGGGCTGCACAGCTGCCATGGCCTGGCCAGGCCCCCGGCTCAGGACCAGCCTCGAGGAGGGGGGGACAGAGGAGACCCAGTGTGCTCAGAAGAGGCTGCGCGTTAGGAGAAGTGGAAGCAGGAAAGAGAAGGGAGTCGGGCCCAGGGGTGTGAAGGGACAAATCTAAAGGGTGTTTTGAGGATAAATTATAGAATTTGAAAACGTGATTGGATTGTGGGTAGGGTTGGAAGAGAGGAAAGTAGAGTTAGAATTTAGCTAAGGTTTCATTTTCTGAAAGAAGGGGCCGTTCCATTAGCAAAGTGGCAAACTCATGACCCCACATAGGAAGGACATTCAACATTGTGGCCTTGGACACACACGTGTTCATAGGTGTGACTGGAACAAGGCCTACCCCAACAGCACCTGCCCTGGCTGTGCACATTCTCTCAATGCACGTGCACGCGCACACACGCACGCATGCACCTGTTGGTCACAGCCTAATTCATAACCCACAATTGGAAAGGCACAGCGTGGGCACTGGAAATTGGCTCTTTTTACCAAGTGAGGCAGCGTAGAGGTGAGAAATGGATGGCAGAGGAAAGGAAGGGGAGACTTGTGAGCCCCCGTGAAAACAGCAGCCTTCTCTTTTGAAGTGTATCATGACACTGGATATCATTTCAGCTGCTCGCACAGGCTTCTTTCTACATTAACAGACAGCACTTGTGTTAATAACTTTAATAGCGTTAAACTCTGTTCCCTTTTGTATATTCTGTGGTTAATGCAACTAGTATTGTTGGTGGAAATTTGTTACAGCACCGATTTAAACGTGTTTGCTTGGATTTTGTTATAGGCCCTCCAGGAACTGGAAAAACATCCCTGTGTAAAGCGTTAGCCCAGAAGTTGACCATCAGGCTCTCAAACAGGTGACACCCGGTGGTTGGAGAGAGGAGAGCAGCCAGAGTGGGAGTGTTTGTTTTTGTTATAACATATAGCTGTTTTTATTTTTTTAATCATTTTACATGAATAATCTGTGCATCTCCTTCTGTGTTAATCAGTTAACCGTCTAGGCTCAGCGTCACCTGTCTTGAATTACACATTGAGTCTCTTTAATTCTGTGGAGCTTTGTTGCACAACTGGCCTGTGTTCCATCTTGGCGAATGTCCTGTGTACACCTCAACAGAACGTGTGCTCCGTTGTTGAGTGGAGTGTTCCACAGATGCCGGCTTGGGCAGGAGTGCTGAAGTCTCTGATTACAATCTGTCTTGAATTATGTTGGTGGTTTCTGTCATCCCTTCGCCTGCTTCCCCTGCCTGTATGCGAATCCGTTAGTGCACACGTCGCACTGCTCAATACCAATTACTGGTTGTCCCACAGGTCACTGAAGTTGTCCTTCCCCCCCTTTTTTTAAGTTTTCTGTCTGTTTCCTTTTGGACAGTTTCTGTCTCTATGTTTTCCAGGTCACTGATTTTCTAGTGTCTAATCTACTTTTAAGTCCATCCACTGACATTTTCATTTTTGGTTATGTATTTTAATTCTCTGGAAGTTCCACTTGGTTCTTTTTACACCTTCCATTTCTTTCTTCAAGTTCTTGTTAAAATTCTTGAACATGTTTATAATTGTTGTTTTAATGCTTTTGTTTGCTAATTCCATCATCATTAATGCTATATTTTCTGTTGACTGATTTCTGGTTGTGGGTCACATTATTCAGCTTCTTGGCTGGTAATTTTTGATGGAATGCTGAATGTTGTGATTTGAAGCATCTGGGTTTTGTTGTATTCCTTTAAAGACTGTTGGGCTTTGTTCTGGTAGACATTTCAGTTACTTGTGATTCAGTTTGATCCTTCAGAGGTTTGTTTTTCAACATTGTTAGGTGGGGGTCTAGGTTTAGTCTAGTCTCAATACTAAGAGTGTGGCCCTTCCATTGAAAACACCTTAGATGACCAGTCACTCTCTGTGTGTTCACTCCGGAAACTGTCCACTCACAGCTCTCCGGTCACCCCCACTTCTCACACCTGCCTTAGTCTTCGACCCCGTGATGATCTCTGGGGCTTTATTTCTGCGTCTCTCCCTTGCCTCTGGGCTCTCGGCGACATGGCCACACTCTGCCTGGTTCTCCCAGGGTCACGATGCAAAAGTTCCTCCAGGCAGGAAGCCAGGGCAGTCACAGGGCAGCCCACTTAACCCTTCTCAGGGTCACAGCCCTGCACTGTGTGTGGCCCAATGTCTTGTTTTCTAGCTGTTTAAGGCAAGAGGGTCAATGTGGTACCTGTTCCTCCATTGTGACTGGGAGAGGAAGTGCTATGAGGTTAACTTTTATGTGTCTTTGATTTCATTTAGAAAATGTCCTCTAAGTATTTTTACTTAGGGAAATTGCTTTATTTCAACCCTTTGTTTTATGTTTAGAAACGTGGCCTTCGTTTTGACATACCAAACCACATCTGTGCTGTAAAGATCTCTAGGGGCATTTTTCTAAAACATCAAAAAGTCAAGATTGTGTTATAAGAAGTAGAACGTTTTCAAGTACAAAGATCTGGACATACGTATTTATTTCACAGCTTGTTCTTAGTTACCACTGAGTCGATTCCAACTCATGGCAACCCCATGTGTGCAGAGTAGAACTGCTCCATAGGGTTTTCAAGGCTGTGACCTGTGGGAAGCAGATCGCCCAGCTGCCTCCCGATGTGCCACCCGGGTGTGTCTGAACCACCCACCTGTCAGCTAGTGGTTGAGCTCTTGACTGTCTGTGCTGTCCAGGGACTCCGAAGCCTTAGTGAGCTTAGAATGGGTCCTCGTCCTGCTTGATAATCAAAATGTTTTGTGATTTGTTTAATATTCAACACAATCTGTACTTCGTTGGGTTGGCTCTCTCTATTTTTCTTTCTTTTTTTTTAGTTAACAGTGTTAGTAAATGATTTTTTATTCTTTTCTCTTTCAAACGGGAAGCCAGCGATACTTTTGAAAGTGATTCTTTTTCTTCTGCGGACTTTTGACATGGGAGAATCACACAGAGCACCTGGGGTAGGCTTTCTCCTATCTCAGTCTTGTTTCTTGGTTATTTTTATTTAGAAACTAAAGGTGTCCAGACTCACCAGCTGCCTCCAGAGGGAACTCAGGAGTGAGTTCTGGATTTCAGTTAACTAGTCCACAGTAGTGTTGATTGGCCATGTGAGCGTTCCAGGGCACTAGAGTTTGCAGGACGTGATTTTGGGCTGAAAAAGGAACCGCCGCGCTCCTTACGGTTTCCTGGAGGGGCAAGAGTTCAGCCCCAGCAAGGAGCTCTTGACGCATTACATCGTTTTGTTTGCTATGTTAGTGCTGGTGATACTATTTAAACCTAGGAACGTAAACTATAAGTAGATTAAAAAAACATCTTTCAGATGTAAGTGAGTTTGGTCTTAATTTCACGTTTTATTTTTGTATATCCTCGGAATAAGAGGGTTTTTACTCTTATTCTAATTCAACTTGGAAAACTTAATTTGCTACGATCTAGAACTGCTGATTGTGTCTTGTCAGACGTCTCGCTGTTATTCAGCACACAGCGTGTTGGATACGTCCGTGACCCTAGAGGTCTCGTGAGCCGCCCGTCCTCACGCTGGGAAGCTGAGAGCAGCTGAGCTAAAGGAGTGAGGTGTTGTCCACGGGATCTGTGGGACTAATGTGTTAAAGGATTTTCTTAACCCCGTTTTTTATCATCTCAGGTACCAGTACGGCCAGTTAATTGAGATTAACAGCCATAGCCTCTTTTCTAAGTGGTTTTCAGAAGTAAGTATTAACTTTTTACTCCCATTTTCTGTGCTGTAACCATAGTAGTTGGGAAAACGCCCGGGGTGTTAGGCAGGCATGCTCCTCTGGTGGCTGCAGGGCATTTGCAGGGCAATGAGAGTTGGAGTGCCGGGCTGACTCTGTCACCAGCGGGCCCCAGGCTGAGCAGGAATGGAAACAGTCTGAGGCCTGAGCGGCCCCCATCCCCCGTCCACCGCCCGGTTCGTCTCATGGGCCCTTCACTGGGTGGTCTGAACGTTCGGCAGCCTCAGGAGAGCAGAGCAGGCGTCCCCTCAGCCTGCTCCATGTGGCGCGCCCTCAGCTGTCTGGGCCTCGTTCTGCCATCTGTGAACCCGGGTCGGGCAAGACCGTGTCACAGGCACTCCCACCCCTAAACGGGCTGCTGGCCGAGGCACCAGGTAGATGCGTCCCCAGCGGGTGGTGAGTCAGGAAGCAGCACTTTGGGGACAGAGTGTGCCTTCAGGGAATGAGCTCAGGGAGCCCCACTGTGTCTGCTGCACTGTGACCCCTCGTTCGGGCCAATGAGGACAGCGGATGAGGAAGTGTGGCCATAGAGGTGAGGCGTCCGTGCCGCCAGGCCCTGGACTGGAGCAGGCACCCAAGCACAGGGCACATTGGGTTGACCACTTGGGCTGGCCTGGCCCCCCTTGGCACACTCTGCGGTGTCCAGGAGAGGTGGGTTGTGTGTGCGTGGGGGAAGCTGACATTTGCACAGCTGCCCGGCCGCATGCTGGACAAAGCTCGACACTGACAGGATGTGTGGTTGTAGAGTGGCAAGCTGGTGACCAAGATGTTCCAGAAGATTCAGGATTTCATAGACGACAAAGATGCCCTGGTGTTTGTGCTCATCGACGAGGTAAGGCCACTCAGCGTCACACCCTGTGATCGAGGGAGACTCCAGCCTCTTGCTGTGGCTGGACATCCTGCCCTTTCATGCTGCACTGCACTCTGGCCTCCCCGCACCTTGCCCAGTCTCGGCTCTGGCCTCCCCAAAACTTGTCCAGCCTCAATGCTGGCCTCCCCGCCCATTGTCCCGTCTCGATGCTGGCCTCCCCATGCCGTGTCCAGCCTCAGCTCTGGCCTCCCTGCACCTTGTCCAGCTTCGGCTCTGGCCTCCCCGCGCCTTGTCCAGCCTCGGCTCTGGCCTTCCCACACCTTGTCCAGCCTCGGCTCTGGCTTCCCCGCACCTTGTCCCTCCTCGGCTGCAGCCCCCCTGCGCCTTGTCCAGCCTCGGCTCCAGCCTTGCTGTCGTCACACATCCCTGTCCTGCCCCAACATCCCTGGCCACGGAACTCCTGGCTTCAAGCGGGCACGCTCGTGTTCACACGTTCACTCATCCACTCAGCAACCAGCCCCCACGCTGCGCATGCTGAGCCCACTCGGCCAGTGCTCTCCTGTTGACCACATGCCTGTCCCTGCAGGTGGAGAGCCTCACCGCAGCCCGCAACGCCTGCAGGGCAGGCACAGAGCCCTCGGACGCCATCCGTGTGGTCAATGCTGTCCTAACCCAGATCGACCAGATTAAGAGGTAATGCTGTGGCGTGACAGGACGGACGAGTCCCTGGTCAGGGGCACGCGGGTGGCTGCGCGGTCCTGGACTCCCCAGCGCTCTGACTAGGAGACAGTGGTGGTGTATTTGCTTCATCTTCCTCTGCCTTTCAGGAAACATAAAACATACACTTTTCAGAGATTCTTAGTTCCCTAGGGCTGCTGTAAGCAAACTGCCACCAGGGACTGGCTTTAAAGAGCGAGTTTCTTTTCTCACAGTTCTGAATTTAGGGCATGGCTCTAGGGGAAGGTCCTTTCTTGTCAGTTTCCATTTCTAGGAGCTGCCAGTCCTTGGTGCTCTGGGCCTGTCGGTGCACCTGCAGCGTGTGTGTCTTTATGTGCCGTCTCCCCGTGTGTGTCTGTCTGCTCTGCTCCTGTAACTCAGAGGATTAGGTTAGCACCCACCCTACTCTGGCATGGCTCGTTAACATAGAAGAAAACCTGCTTCCAAACAGAGCTGTAGTTTACAGGTGTGGGAGTCAGGTCGCCGTAGTTCACAGGTGCGGGAGTCAG